ACCGTTGCCCCTATCTCGAATGGTATGATTGTTGTGTGCTTTTTAAATTATGTATTGTTTTGTGTTGTTGTCAAATTGTTTGTATCCCCCCTTTCCTTGTTTTGAGTTGTGAGCCGCCCTGAGTCCCCCTCGGGGGAAAAGGGCGGCATACAAATGAAATAAACATAAACATAAACAAATTTACACCATAACTTCATCTGTTGATTCTATCCACATGCACTTGTGTATCAGGTTGCAAAGTGGCTGCTTATAAGTTGAGTAGGTTTTCATCCCATCCTAATCCCTACGTACTTATTTGCTAAAATATTACAGCTGGTTTTATCCCGTTCTTCTAAATCTCTCTGCTTAACTTTGATTCTAAGCTTTAAAACAAAGCGCAGCCTTCTCTCCTGTGAACTTCCGAGATGCAACAGCCCTTTTTCTGCAAACTGGCTAAAGAAGAGAGCAGATTTTTTTTCCCCACCACAAAATAATTGCGTGCAAGGAAGCACACAATTATTGTGCTGAATTAGAATCTGGGGATTCCCCAAAGTTTGAACAAAGCCAGACATTGTGAAGCAAAGAACAAACAAACACACAACCCGTCCCGAGCAATGAGACACCTACCTCTGACGAAATTCTTTTTGTCGTACTTTGCAAATATAAGCACTTCTCGCGCCAGTTCTGGTGTGGAACTGGCTCATGCAGTGACCTTGCTGAGTACATCCAAGGGGAGTAGGGGACTTCGATGGGTGCCCTGGGGTTCATGCTTCACTCCTCTTTATGCACATAGCACACTGGGAAGCACTGAACACCAAAGAGAGCTGGTGAGGTGCAAAACCGTGGGATCAGTAGCAGCCCGTGTCCTGCCTTTGTCTGATGAGGTCACCTAGGCAACAAACTCCACCTCTGATAAGAGCTATGTGCTTGTGTGGGAACCACACTCAACAACTTCGGGTGTCCGGTTTCGCTAGCAAAGAGGGCTTGTTCAACTGCTGTAGAAAAAGGACTCATCCTTGTTTTTTGTCATGCTTCACAAACCATGCCACAAAGCTTGTAGATCGGGGTGTCCAACTTTGGCAGCTTTTAAAGACCTCTGGACGTCAACTCCCAGAATTGCCCAGCTCCCAGAATTCCCCTGCTCTTTAAGACCTGGGGACTTCAACTCCCAGAATTCCCTAGCTCTTTAAGACCTGGGGACTTCAACTCCCAGAATTCTCCAGCTCTTTAAGACCTGTGGACTTCAACTCCCAGAATTCCCCAACTCTTTAAGACCTGGGGACTTCAACTCCCAGAATTCCCTAGCTCTTTAAGACCTGGGGACTTCAACTCCCAGAATTCTCCAGCTCTTTAAGACCTGTGGACTTCAACTCCCAGAATTCCCCAACTCTTTAAGACCTGGGGACTTCAACTCCCAGAATTCCCTAGCTCTTTAAGACTTGTGGACTTCAACTTCCAGAATTTCCCAGCTCTTTAAGACCTGGGGACTTCAACTCCCAGAATTCCCCAGCTCTTTAAGACTTGTGGACTTCAACTCCCAGAATTGCCCAGCTCTTTAAGACCTGGGGACTTCAACTCCCAGAATTTCCCAGCTCTTTAAGACTTGTGGACTTCAACTCCCAGAATTGCCCAGCTCTTTATGACCTGTGGACTTCAACTCCCAGAATTCCCCTGCTCTTTAAGACATGGGGACTTCAACTCCCAGAATTCCCCAGCTC